TTTGGTGATTTTAGCGTCTTTATTTACCAAAATTTTTTCAAATTACGCATTTACAGTTCGTAATGGAAACTTCAGTCTGTGACAAAAAATTTTCTATGCTGGTCCAGGTCTTCGTATAGGCCCCATATACCAGTACCTCCCTATATTCGGTATTTTGACGAGTTTAGGTACAATACTCACCGAAGTTGTTTGAAATCTCGTATTTGAAGTTCGTAATGGATGCTACAGAATATGACAAAAAATTGTCTAAGCAGGTTGAGGTCTTCGCACAGCTCCGATATAACGGTAAATCCCTATATTCTATACTTTGATGATTTTAGCTACATTATTCGCGTTTATTTCAAGTTCCGAATTTGAATTTGGTAATGACTCATGACAAACAAGTAAAAAAGCAGTAAGTTCGGCCGGGCCGAACTTTGAATACCCTCCACCATTTGGAACGAATTAGAAAATTTTCAAAAAAATAAAATCCAATAAAAATTCTTTTAAAATCTTTAAAATATCTAATATAGGAAGGTGCCGATATTGTGGACCTATAAAGACAAATCTATATCTGCGTGTAAAGTACTCACAAGGAACTCCGTGTGTGGATTTTCAGACAATACGATTGGAAAATGTGGCTAAAATCATCAAAATACCGAATATCGCGGGGTACCGTTATATGGGAGCTATACGTTATCGTTAACCTATATAGAGAATTCTCTGTCGGTGGGTAAAGTGCTCACAAAGAACCCCTTGTGACCATTCCGTTGAAAAATATGGCTAAAAACATCAAAATACCGAACATCGGGGGTACCGTTATATGAGGGCTATACAATATCGTGGATCTATATAAATAATTCTCTGCCGGGGTATAAAGTACCCACAAGGAACTCCTTGTGTGGATTTTCAGACAATTCCGATGAAAAATGTGGGTCAAATCATAAAATACCGAATATCGGGGGGTACCGTTATATGGGGGATATACGATATCGTGGGTCTGTATAGACAATTCTCTCTCAGGGGGTGAAGTACTCACAAGGAACTACTTGTGTTGATTTTAAGACAATTCCATTGAAAAGCGTAGCTAACATCATCAAAATACCGAATATCGGAGGTTACAGTTATATGGGGGATATACGATATCGTGGACCTATATAGACACTTCATTTTGAGGAGGTAAAATGCCCACAAGGGACTTCTTTTGTGGATTTTCAGACAATTCTGTTGAAAAATGTGGGTAAAATCATCAAAAACCAAATATCGGGGGGTACCGTTATATGGGGGCTATACGATATTGTGGACCTATATAAATAATTCTCTGCCGAGGTATAAAGTACCCACAAGGAACTCCTTGTGTGGATTTTCAGACAATTCCGTTCAAAAATGTGTGTAAAATCTTCAAAATACCGAATATCGGGGGGTACCGTTATATGGGGGCTATACGATATTGTGGACCTATATAGATAATTCTCTGTCGAGGTATAAAGTACCCACAAGGAACTCCTTGTGTGGATTTTCAGACAATTCCGTTCAAAAATGTGGGTAAAATCATCAAAATACCGAATATCGGGGGTACCGTTATATGGGGGATATACGATATTGTGGACCTATATAGATAATTCTCTGCCGAGGTATAAAGTACCCACAAGGAACTCCTTGTGTGGATTTTCAGACAATTCCGTTCAAAAATGTGGGTAAAATCATCAAAATACCGAATATCGGGGGGTACCGTTACATGGGGGCTATACGATATCGTGGACCTATATGAAAAATTCTCTGCCGAGGTATAAAGTACCCACAAGGAACTCCTTGTGTGGATTTTCAGACAATTCCGTTGAAAAATGTGGGTAAAATCTTCAAAATACCGAATATCGGGGGGTACCGTTACATGGGTGCTATACGATATCGTGGACCTATATAGATAATTCTCTGCCGAGGTATAAAGTACCCACAAGGAACTCCTTGTGTGGATTTTCAGACAATTCCGTTCAAAAATGTGGGCAAAATCATCAAAATACCGAATATCGGGGGGTACCGTTATATGGGGGCTATACGATATTGTGGACCTATATAGATAATTCTCTGCCGAGGTATAAAGTACCCACAAGGAACTCCTTGTGTGGATTTTCAGACAATTCCGTTGAAAAATGTGGGTAAAATCATCAAAATACCGAATATCGGGGGGTACCGTTATATGGGGGCTATACGATATCGTGGACCGATATAGCCCATCTTCGAACTTGACCTGCCTGCAGACAAAAGAGAGATCTGTGCAAAATTTTAGCTTCCTATCTTAATTCGTTTAGACTGTAGCGTGATTACAACAGACGGACAGACGGACAGACGGACGGACAGGGCTAAATCGTCTTAGAATTTTACGCTGATCAAGAATATATATACTTTGTTGGGTCTAAAATGATTATTTCGATGAGTTACAAACGGAATGACAAAGTTAATATACCCTCCATACCTTTTTTGGTGGAGGGTATAATAATGCCTGTGTGGGTCCACGTCGTATAGGCACCAATATAACGGCAATATTCGGTATTTTTAAAATTTTACCAATTTTTTTTCAGGATTTTATTTCCAAATTCGTTCCAAATGGTGGAGGGTATTCAAAGTTCGGCCCGGCCGAACTTACTGCTTTTTAACTTGTTTTTTTTTTTAATTTTATTGAATGAAAGCAAAAAATGTCGGAAATAGCATCAAATAAGCTTAGATTTATTTAGATCAAACAAACAAACTTAGATCAAACAGCCAATGAAACCGTCACACGCTGTCCGAATGTTTCTCTGCGGTATTTTGCCCCATTCCCGGCGTAGCGCTTGCTTGAGGTGATCAACACTTTGGTATTTTTTAGTGCCAACCTTGCTTTCCAGCAACAATAGTCCAACGGATTGGTATCCGGAGATTTTGGTGGCCATTGTGTGCTGGAAATGATGCGAGGAACCTCATTTTGTAACCATTCTTGGGTGGTGCCTGCTGAGTGCGATGGTGCTGAGTCCTGTTGGAATGTCCAAAGTCTGCGACGAAAATGTTTGCATACCCAAGGCTTTAATACAACCTCCAGAATATTTTCGCGATAATATTCGGCATTTATTCTGATGCCACTTGTTGATGTCGATGAATACGAGCGGAGAGCGACCATCGGCTGTTATGGCGGCTCTCACCATCACCATGGCCGGCGCTTGAGTTCTGGTGGCCAACAGAAGGTGCATATTTTCAGCTGACCTCTTTGACAAGTAAACACGATCATTTTGTTTGTTTACAAACTACTGGACAACGAATGTTTTCTCGTCGAAGGAAACCAAAATCGGCAGTTCACCACTTTCGGCCAAGCGAAGCAACTCTTAAGCTCTTTTGAGTGTATTTTCTTTCTGTTGCGGTGTAAGTTCTTGCACTTTTGGGAATTTCAATGGCTTTACCCCGAGCTCATGTTTCAATATTTACCGAATGGAATATTGCGATATGTTCAGCTCACGATCCATTTTTCGGTCACTGCGACGCGGGTTTCGATCACTTCTTTACTCTTCGAACAATTTCTGCTGATATTGCTTTTTTTCGTCCACTTCCTTGACGTCGGGCTACGCTACCAGTATCACGGTAACGAGACTCAAAAGATTTATTCACATTTAAATTCTGAAGTGCTCTAACGATAGCCACTTGTGGTTTTCCAACCAAATATAAAGAAATCACATTATCACGCTTGAATTCCATCACGAATAACTTTTTTTCTGGAAAATTCTCACCAAAATGCTTATCTCACCTTATATTTTCGGCCGATTTAATGTATTTGATGCATCAAACACGCCATGTATCTCCAATTGCAATGAAAGTTAGAACGTGTAAAGGTACTCCGTACAAGAATAAATTATTCAAATTATATTGAAATCGGTTTATATTTGGATAAAGGTATCATATATATTTTCGTCCGATTTAATGTGGTTGATTAGAATATGTAACAGAATTTGGTGCAAAACTGAATTTATATTATATTGAAATCAGTTCAGAATTTTGATCCGAGTTCATGTAATTGATTCACCAAAACGCTATGTATCTTCAATTTCAAGAAAATTTGAAATATGTAACGGAATTAAATACAAACTAAATTTGTCAAATTATATTGAAATCGGCTCAGATTTGGATATAGCTCTTATAGTATATATATATATATATATATATATATATATTTTTTTTTTTTTTTTTTTTTTTTTTTTTTTGGCCAAATACTCAATGTATCTCTAATTTCAATAACATTTACAATATATAATTGAATTTTGCACAAAAATAAGATTGCCAAATTATATAGAAGTCGGTTCGGATTGGGATATTGTTCCATATATATTTTGGGCGATTTCATGTATTTGATGCACCAAACACACTATGTATTTCCAATTTCAATGAAGTTGGGTAAGTGTGACGGAAGAGGAAAATCTTATTTACGTTTGAAAGTAATCTAGACTATATACATTTTGAAATTCCACTCAGACTGGGAGTAATGGAATTTGTTACTAAAATAAATTCACCAAAGCAAAATCGGTTCAGATTTGGGTATAGCTCCCATATATATATTTTCGTTGAGTTCATGTATTTGATGAAATCTGCAATGTGTGACGGAATGTGGTCTACAAATAAATTAGTCAAATTATATTGATATCGGTTTAGATTTGGATGAAGTTCCACAATGGATCAATAGGTCACCGAGTGGAGTGGTTGTTTAAACAACCACGCATCCTTTAACCTAGTTCCTGCATAATTTTTTGCATAATTGCAGATTCCTGTACATTTGGCATTTCCTATGACGACTAATAATTCTCAAGGACAAACTCTTAGTGGAAACGGACTAAATTTAGCACGTTTTTATTTGTATTTTTTTTTTTAATTTTTTGGAACCAAAAAATATTTGAATATAAAATTTTGAATGCATCTAAAAGCGAAAGTAGAAGCGGGTTCAGCTGGTATAAATATATAATTTTTTAATTTTCTCATTTCATTGGTTGTTTAATGAATTTTTACAGCCGGCATCACTTTTCAAAAATAATCACCACTTTGGAGAAACACCAAGGAAGATGAATATCAAACCAGTTGCTAAGTCAGGTGATTCCATTAAAAAAATTCTGTATAGTTTAGAGTTTGAAGTTTTTTTTGTAGACCTATTTGAATAATTTGAATTGATAACAATCGTCTACAGGATATGATGAATTTCATGATTACTATCCAGCGAATTCACATTCATTTGCGAATCAAGGGAGCTCACATCCACTCCAGACATCGATGACTGCGCTTAACCAAACGAAAGAAGTCGGATTAAAAGATATCACAAATATTGCACTTACAACTTTAGCATTCCTATCTTTTGGAATGTTCGTACTGCAAGTATTAATGTGTATAACAATGGTAAGTTAAATATGTTGACGAATGTCTTCGAAAGCTTTAATAGGAGATAACAAAACACATATGAAGCGTCGTCTGGCCATGTTCTTGAAATTTGTTATTTTAATTCTTGGTGTTATTTGTAGAATAAGGAAGATACGACCAATATGTCAATGCTTGCTGTAGACGGAACGGATGACGTAAACGGAGCAGATGGTACAGATGAAATTAGAAGAAAACGTCGGTCCGCAGAAACTTCTCAATCGAACTCTAAAGTAAACATGTAGTAACTGTTAATAGAAATCTTTTAAAATATGATGATCATTGTAGGTCATGCAACTGGCCGAATCAGCCTTACTGTCGATCGACGTAATTAACAGCAGTAACGGCAACTGTCATTTTTACATTATTTGCAAAAATATTAAAATTTCAAAAAGACACAGGGAAGATGGAAACCTTTGGCTCCCAATTTGGAGGTAAATATTGTGATTTATATATCGGCGTTTGTATACAAATGTAACATATATTGAAGCTCATGTTTGGAGTACTGTAACTCGCGAAAACACCTTTTGTGTTTTAACATTTCTGTTAAATGAACTGTTTTAGCACGATTCACCGAGGGATTCAAAAAGCAAAATTTGCGCGGAAGATGTGGGCATGTTAATGTAAAAGAAGTAGAAAAAAATTGTGTACTACCAATACTCATTGTGTACTACCAATATATGAAATTACCGTTATATGCGAGCTATAGGAAATCATTGTGTATGGTCCCACAACGTTCTGCCACCAGATTTAGAACCCATTACAAACAAAAAATTCCAATATTTAGACAAATCCGCGAAAAATGTGGCTAAAAACATCAAAATACTGAATATCGGGAGGGATCTGAATGGGGGCTATAACAAAATGTGATGCGAGTCTTCTATTCCAAATTTGAAAAAATTTCGTGGGTAAATGTGACTGGGATTATCAAAATATATATATATATATATATATATAAATATATATATATATATTTATATATATATATATATATATATATATATATATATATATATATATATATATATATATATATATATATATATATATATATATATATATATATATATATATATATATATATATATATATATAAATGAAAATGTCTTCGAAAAATTAAATAGGAGATTGCAAACATAAATGAAGCGTCGTCTGGCTATGTTCTTGACATTTGTTTTTTTTTTATTCTTGGAGAATATACATATATATATATATATATATATATATATATATATATATATATATATATATATATATATATATATATATATATATATATATAAATTAAGATTTTAAATGTTTAATGTTTAAAATTTTTAAATATTGTCTTTATTATTTTAATATTTTTCCTTACGGGTTTAATTAGCAACTTGTCACAATTTACATTATTAGTTGTAGGAATATTAACAATATAAATTATTTCATTATTATTTGAAGCGACTTTAACTTTTGAAAACTTTAATACCTCATCCATAATAGCAAATGGTATGTTATCATTATAAAAAATATCTCTTAAAATATTTACCTCTGTATTAGAAAAAATGAATGAATTTACAATGTTTGATCTGGCCCGATGAATGGCATATTCTATATTAGACAGTTCTTCTTTAATAATTTCCAACTTATACTTAAAATCTAACAATTTTTCTTCGATATCTTGACTCACTAATAATTTAGAAATATTATTGGTAATCTTTGAAATTTGGTTTACTTTCTCTATTGTTAATTGGTTAATTACAATTTGATTGTTATTGTTAACAAGGACATTATTTATTTTATTTTCTATTATTTCGAAATCATGGTGGTCCGGACTACCGGCTAACCATTTCCAGGCGCTACCAATAAAGTCCAGAGATCTTTTTTTTATTGTTTTGAATTTAAGTCTAGATAGACAGGATTTAATTTGGGATATGGAATAGGATAGGTACGGTAATAATGAGTTATTGTTGTTGTCACGTATGTCAATTCCATTTTCTAACGTTTCTATCAAATTTTCATATTGTATCAAGTCAATTGTAAGGACAAGTTTGAAAACGCCGTTCTGAATTTTCGCGGTCCCTGTATTGATCACTACTAGTCTAGAGTTAGAGTAATCCATTATCTGGAACTCTCCTTTAGAGTAACCAAGCAGCAGAAAAAATCTGTAAATAAATGTAATAAAACTTAGTTCTTAATATGTTTCTTATGAACGACCCTCCCACTTTCGGTCACTACAGTTGAATGTCTGTTTTCCTTTACTAGCTCTCGTTTGAATTTTTCGGATAATTTTGTTCCAAGTCTTTTGTTAACTCTGACAAAAATCTCCTGTCCGGGTATGTATTGTTTGATTTCGTCTTTATCTTTGTTGTGATAGATTAAATCCTTTTCCTGTTTCTTTTTCAGCATCTTGATATTATTTTCCCTTGTTCTTTCATAGCTTCCTGGGGAAAAATCCACAGTCCTCCCGAAAAACATATCTACTGGTTTCTTACCGATTGTAGAATGTATTGAGTGGTTATATTCGTTTACGGATCGTTCCAAAAGCTCCTCAAAATTCCTACAAATACCTTCCTCCTTGAGACATCTCAAAATTTCGGCCAATATTGAGTGAAATCTTTCGATTTGGCCATTGGCTTCACTTTTGTATGGTGGAGTTGTAAACACCTCTATTCCCAATTCATCTTTCATCATAAAAAGTATGGTTGCAAAATTCAATGATTTTTCGTTGTCCATGACAACCGTTTAGGGAACTCCATAGAAAAACAGAATATCTCTCAAAGGTCTCCTAATATCCTCTATTGATTTTCCTTAGAGAATCTTGGTTTGAGCGTATTTCGAGAACTTATCTATGGCCGTCAAAACTAATTTTCTATCTGTTGAGAAAATATCAATATGAATAACCTGACCTGGGTAGTTTGGTATTGGTGTGGCATTCAGTTTTGGTTGACTTGGATGCCTGTCGTATTTATTTCTTTTGCATGTGGAGCACAATTTTAATATTCTTTTAATTTTAGAGAACATACTGGGAAAATATGCTTTTTCCAATATTTGCATTTTATTTTCTACAGCATTTCTATGCGCACGATTATGAGTTTCTATTATAATCGTTTCTTGATCAGATTCCGACAAAATATTTTCTACAAAAAGTTGAGTAAAACTAATTTTAAAATTTACAAAATGATGTGGATAAATTTCTTGAATTTTTCTCATAATAAACTCTGGAGTTTTAATGCAATTAATGACCGATGGGTTAAGGTATCTTTTTAAAATTGAAATAAGTCTTTCAGTATCATATTCTGGTTCCGATATCGAATGTCTATGATATCCTGGAAAAATTATTTGAAAATTGTAATTTGGGGTGTCGTTGATTTCAAGAAAAAATTGATTTTTAAATGCATTTATTGGCACTTCAACTTTAGGAATAAGTTTTTCTGGTGAACTGTCGCTACTATGCACTGTTCCCGTTAAAGAGTTAATATTCGTTCCAGGGGGTGTAGAAAGTGCATCAGCTACAATATTACTTTTATTTACGTTCTGAGAAATGAACTGTTTAATTGGGACTTTTCTACCTCCCTTAATGGTGAAATAATCCTCGGCTGTATGAATCACAGCTGAAAATTCTTTTAAACTATCGTTTCCTAATATTGCATCAAATGTTTCTAATTCTGGTAGAAGAAAAAATTTTATGGGAGTATCATCAAACAATTTTATAAATTTATGCTGTGTTATTTCGACGTCACTCTTAATGGACTTTGCTTTAAAATTTCATTCGTTTTGTTTCGGACTTTTTACAAATTTTGGGTTGATGTAATTTTTATTGCTGTCAGTGTCTAGTAATATTTTTAATTTTTTGTCGTTCCCCATTTTTGCTTCGAAATATGGTAATGAGGAACAGTTTAATCTAAACAAGTAAAAAAACATTAAGTTCGGCCGGGCCAAACTTTTAATACCCTCCACCTTAGGGTAAAAGAAACATTAGAAGAAATGTGGCAAAAACCATTAAAATGCCGATTATGGGGAGGTACCGTAATATGGGGGCTACACCAAAACGTGGACCTATAATTACAATGTTTCGCCACACGAACTAGGACCCATTATGGCCCACAAATACCAATTTTTAGACAAATCAGTGAAAAAATGTGGCAAAAACCATCAAAATACCGAATATCGGGAGGTACCTTTATATGGGGGCTATATCAAATAATGGACCCATGCATGCAATGTTTCGCTACCAAAGCTGGAACCAATTATGACCAACAAATACCAAATTTCAGACAAATCCGTGAAAAAATGTGGCAAAAATCATCAAATTACCGAATATCGGGAGGGTCCCGATATATGGGGGCTATACCAAAACGTGGACCTATAATTACAATGTTTCGCCACACGAACTAGGACCCATTATGACCCACAAATACCAATTTTTAGGCAAATCAGTGAAAAAATGTGGCAAAAACCACCAAAATACCGAATATCGGGAGGTACCGTTATATGGGGGCTATACCAAATTTTGGACCCATACATGCAATGTTTTGCCACACGCTCAAGGACCTGCTATGACCTACAAATACCAATTTTAAGACAAATCCGTGAAAAAACGTGGCATAAATCATCAAAATACCGAATATCGGGAGGTACCGTTATATGGGGACTATACCAGAACGTGGACCGATATATCTCATTTTCAATACCAACCATCCTAGACACAATGCAAATAGCTCTGCTAAATTTTGGAGCTCTACGTCAAATAATGTGGGCTGTATCGTGATTTCAACAGACAGACAGACAGACAGACGGACAGACAGACAGACAGACAGACGGACAGACAGACAGACGGACATCGTTAAATCGACTTAGAATTTTATGCTGATTATGAATATATATACTTTATGGGGTCTAAGACGAATATTTAAGGATGTTACAAACGGAATGACAAAGTTAATATACCCTCCTTTCCAAGGTGGAGGGTATAAAAATTAACAGCAAGTTTAACATCATCAGTTTCTTCTTCTTTCTTTTCGAGCGTTGTTACTTCCTCAGGAATTTGATGAAAGTAATCAGCATCATATTCAAAATCCACGTTCTGGTTATGATGGCTCATATTACCATCTTCCGGCCGATAGTAATCATAAAAGGTTTCCTTCGGCATACAATCAGCATTTATATGGAAATTTCGCTGAAATTTACTCGCTGGAATTTGAAAAGATGTTGCTGGTCTTTTTACTGCTAAATTGTTAGGTGGTCTGTTCACGTAATTGGCTTGGCGGGTTTGGATTGAATTATCTACATCCATGGGCTCTGGTCGCCGATTTTGAAGATTATTTGTAAAAGCTGAATTCCTTCTAAAGTTTTCAGGAACGTTACGGTTGTGATTGAAACTAATATTACTATTGAGATTTGGATTAACGTTAGCATGAAAGTTTGGGTTGTGGTTTAAATTTTGATTGCGACTTAA